TAATAATGATAGAAACAGTGAAATTGTTTATCTCATTAAGGGAAATGGGAGGGGTGGCGGGGAGGAGGCAGAAATCTTTAATAAATTAATAAATAAAAAATAAATAAATAAATCACTGCTTGGACAATTAAAAAAAAAGAAAATTTGTTGAAACATATTCATAGATATATCCATTTTCTGGGGCCTCCAGATAGATTGTTAATTCCTTAACATACTATTCTCCTTTTAATGGCTGGAAAAACAATTGGCTTAAGACCTAAGAGCAGGTACACTCTTGTAACAGCAAGCCTAAGGAACATATCTCACAAAAAGTAGGCGGGGGAATTAAGAGCATTTTTAATATTAGGAAGAAAAACAGCACTTCTACTGACTAGTACTTGAATCTGAGGTATGGTTTATTTTTACTAATTCATAATTTAGAACCATAACTATTTGACCTCCCAAAGGGCAAAAAAACATAGGAACTTGCTTTTGACCTTTCAAAATTGATGCCAATTATTCTGGTTGTTTGCTGACATGGATCATCTTCAGTCAGAGGAGCTTGTGACTTGAATCCAAGATTAATCACCTGATATTTATTATCTCTTGAGATCTTATAGCACCTTTGCCATAGTTTGAAAAACAAGAATCTGATGGAGGAAGGTCATTGGTTAAAAAAATAAAGAAACTGCTTGGCTGGCCCTCATAGGTTAGAACACAGGTGGGTGGAGAAAACAGAACAGAATTTTGGGAGGAAGAGGAAGTGAGCTCAGACTCGACAGCTCTCCTCTCGGGGGCAGACGCCTGAGAGACACCATGCCCCGCTCTCCCAGGCAGACACACATGATGAAGCTCCGACCCAGGATGGACATAGGCTAGAATCTTCCCGGTAAGACCGGTGCTCACAGATTATTAGAGATGGGTTGATCGGGATATCAGAATTAGCCAGTAAGGGCTAGAGCTAAAGGGCCAAGCAGTGTTTAAATGAATGCAATTTGTGTGTTGTTATTTCGGGGCATAAGCTAGCCAGGCGACCCAGATGCTGGGGACGCAGCCCCGCCACTCCTATTTCAACAAGAATCCTTACAGATTTCTAGACCATGCAGGTGAAAGTTCATTGCCAAAGTGAAAATGTCAATGTCTTAAGTAGTTGAAACAGAGTAATCTAAAATTACTAACTTATCAAAATGAGTTACCATTCCAATCAATATTAAGGGTTGCTACCTCATTACTTTGATTTAAATTTGCTATGATGTGTACATGATAATAGAAAAGCTTAAAACAAGAAAGTGGCCTTACTTTTCCTATATGTTTTAGCCAAACATATGATTTACAAGGGAACTTACAAAGACAGTTTGTCTGTTTTTAAGCCACCAGTCTCTTGGGACATGAGTACAGAATAGGCCTTACTTGAATTATACAATCTAGGAAATCACTATTAAATAAATCTCAACTAGAATTATTATACATTTCCAGATAAATTTTCATGTCTATTAATTCTTCCTTATTTGTATTAATTAATGAGAGAATCTCTTCTTGGTGGGAAACAAATTTTCTTGCTGGGTGGACTTCTTTTGTCCTTCAGATCCTGCAGTTCTGAGTCTGTGGCCCTGAGGTCCTTCCTCTACCTGCTTTGTTATGAATCATATGGGAAAGTCTCAAAGATTATTGAAGGACAGCCAGGAAGCTAAGGAGATGTTGAAGGAAACGAGCACAAGAGTGTTCGGGGATGATAAGAATGCCAAAGAAGGCCAAGGAATATCAAATCAAAAACACTTTAAACTCAAACCCTGAGGCTATTATCATAACCCTATTTCCAAATTACCAATGTGAGAAAATCTATGGTGTATAAGTTCTCTTCTCCTTCATTAATTGGTTTCTAAATATCAGATGATATTTAAGCAGTTGAATAGTTCTACAAATGGAAAGACATAAGCAGTAATATCTCCAATGGACAGAAATGCTTGCCTGTAGAGAAGTGGGGAGTCACTGATTTTGGCTGTCAAGTTGTCTGCATCAGCAGTTAAGTAAAACAAAAGCTTTGGGGCACTCTTCTGATGAATTTTCTCTATCAGATTATTTGAAATTGGAAGACTTGCCAAAAAAGTAGGTGACACTTTCTGGTGGCAGGCCAGATTAAGGGAAATGAATGAAAGTACTTATGAGTATATCCTGGCATGCTTAATCTTTAGAAACAAGGGAGCTTATGACTTGAATCCAGGGGTAATGAACTTAGGTTTATCAGCTCTTAAGATCCTATAGTGCCTTTGCCACACTTAAACAAGAATCATAACAGATTTCTAAACCAGGTAGGAAATAATCCATTGCCCAAGTGGAAAATCAAAAAGAAAAAGTCTTAAGCAGCAAAACATGTAATAAGTTAAAATTATTAACTCATCAAAATGAGTTAGAATTTTAATCAATGTTAAGATCTTTATGTTTTAAGTCATGCTGTTTATCATAAATTTTGTTATAAAATAGTGATCTAGAGTTCAAGATTCCAAGAACAGGTGATAGCGTATCATTAACATTCAGCCAATAAAACCAATTTAGGTATTGATTCTAAAGTTCTTCCATTGGTAATGACCAGCAAGTACTCTATCATCTCATAATGTTTTGAATCTTTCTGGTTAGCAAGGTAACTAGAAATACAATATTTTTTTCTTTCTGCACATCAGGAAGGTTATGAAATAAAATGTATATGATCAGATTATTTTGGCTTCACTGAAAACTAAGAATGTTAAATTATCTATATCCAAATGTAAATCTTTTAGAAAATCTTTATATCCTCTAAACTGTGATAATATTGTTTGTCAGGTTTATTAGAATAAAATGCCTCTCTCTGAAAGTGATGATAAATTCCACTCCAAAAATATCACAGAATCATTAAGATGCTACATTTATACTAGCTTCAAATAAAAGATGTCATGTATACTATTCAGTAACTAGCAAATAAGAGACATGAAATTCATATAATAAAACCAATTGAAATGTTCAGTACATAATCACGGTTTTAAAAAACTGCAGAAGATAACACAGATGAGTGAGATTTCTATTTATTTAAATAATCCTGTTTCTAATTTTGTGTATATCTACATATCCTTTTGAAAGATCATTAACAGCATCTAATTAATTTTTTGTATACAGCTTAAAAAACACAATCATATATATGCACTCAATTTTCTATATCCATTTATCTATTGCAGGCATCAAAGCTTGTTATTTTTTTTAGCTTTTGTAAATAGTACAGGAATAAAGATATGTGAAAGTATCTCCACTGAAAAATACAGAATTCTTTAGACATATGCCACAGAATAGTATAGTTGGATCATACTTACTTTTACTTTTATTTTATTTTATTTTTTTTTGGGAAAACACATGCTGGTTTTCATGGTGACTGCACCTCTTAAAGCCTCCTCCCTCAAACTATGCAATAATTTCCTTTCCCCACTCTCTCTACTGAACTGGTTATTTGTTTTCTTATGTTTTCCATTCTGATTTGGTTGAGATGGATTATCATTTTCCGTATTACAAAAAAATGGTCTTCTGATTTAACAGAATTCATTTCAACATCTAAATGATCCTTTTAAAGAAGTAGGAAATTAAACAGTGAACCTCATATGGAAAATTAAAACAAATAGTCAACACAATTCTAGGCATAAAAAAGCTAAACTACCAAATCCATGATTTCAAATAACACTAGAGAGCTTTAATGACAAGGGCATCATGACATTTGTGGAAAAAACTCTTGGGTAATGGCATTGCAGACTGCAAGCAGAAATCATTTTAAAGTGTTCCAGCTAATAAATTTTATGACAAAATTGTCAAAAATGTAAATATTACGAGAATAGGCATGTCAAAAATGGTACTGGGAAACTCATTTTCTACATTCAAAAGAACAGATTTAATCCCACATTCCTTACCTTGCACAGAAATTAATCCAAAAGGATCAAAGAATTTATCACAAGGCCTATACTTTGACATTATTAGTGGAAAAGATATAGAAAATATTTTAAATATAGGTATGCATAAGAGAATTCTGCCGAAGCACAGGACAGAACCTGAGAATTAAAAATGAGAATACGTGATATTAAATACCTATTTCAGAGCAACAAAATCACCCAAATGAACGATAATGCAGAGAATGGGCTAACCTTATTTCAATTGTTTTGTCTAAGAGGAAAACTGTTAATTTTTAAAATATTTGAATAAATTGGAATTGAACATCTATACACAGATGCTTCCAAACCAGTAAAAGGACTAGTGATCTGAGTAGACAGTCCCCTGTGAAGAAACAGCAGACAATCGATACTGCAAAACAGAACAGACAGCTGTTACCATCAAGCAAATGCAAATCACAATAAAAGGCAGAATGAAACTCTGACAGATGAGAGCACAACACCAGTCCTACATTCCTGAGAGTCAAGGTCACCTACAAGGCAACAGACAGCTACATCCTCACATTCTCACTGACTCGTTAAGCCGCAAGCATAGGTTTCAAAGATCGTGGTGTTTCAAAACTAAATTTCAATCCAAGGCAGAGTAATGCTCATGAAAACTTTTGTTATATATTCTTCTGTATGAAAAAAAAAAAACAAGTTTCCTAATGCTAAGTGGTTGCTTTATTTGTTTTCTGTCACACATTGTAAATGGCCTTTAAAAGTCAGTAGCTGTTACTCAAGAATAATGAGGTGTATTATTTTCACAGTGCACATGCAAATCTCCAATTAACAGTAATGAAATTTATGGCAGTGAACTAAAAGGACATCTACTTCAGTGTTTTAAAAGAAAGAACCTTTATTTTTTGGTACCTACCTTTTTTACCATCTAAGTGAAGACTGGCATAAATAAACAAATTAGTATTAAGCATCAATTTGACACTTCCATTCTTGTTGACATTCTGAAATACTGTCTTTAAAAGGTTTTTAAAACTGAAATACAGCTTCAACTATCAGTTAAAATTATACTTGCAAATCCCTCCTCTGGCATTAATCTCAGAATTATAAACAGTCAACAGGAACAAGACTATACTTTCAGGGATCATTTCTGCAGTTTTGTATAGTGAAGATTCTCTGACTGTGTAGGGTATCCTAGACCACAAGGACAAGTAGAAGTGTTCCCTTTAAAGCGTGCCGCTTGCTCTAGGTGCTGCTTTTCTGTAGCTGCCTCTTGTTATTGATGGTCCTTCTTCTCTTCCTTTGGTGGTGGGGGGATGCAGTTTGAATAGAAAAGAAAAGAAAGAAAAGAAGGAGGGACAGAGGGAAGAAGGAAGGAAGGAAGAAGGAAAAGAGTAAATTGAGCATCATGGAGAAATGTAGACATGACAGATTTCCAAATATGTATGGCAAACAGTACTGCTTTTATTTTCAGACAAATGCAGAGCTCAGAACTTTATTATCTGTTTGATAAACAAGTGTATATTCTAAATAATTATTTCCTTCTTAGGTACCTAACACTGTGGTGTTCAATATAGTTAATCTTCCAATATTCAATTATTCTATAAAACATGAAATACTATGTCACATATTAGTAATTGAATCAGTATCTTGAAGTTTCTTTTAAGTTGATTTTTTTTTTTTATTTTTATGGGTAGAGAAGAAGGCTGGTTATATGGTGCACATTCGAGGGACAACAGACAACTTGCAGGGTGAGTACTTTCCTGCCACCATGTGGGTAGTGGGAATTAAAATTGAGTTGACAGCCTTGTCAGCAAACACCTTTCCTCACAAAACCATCGTACTGGCCCTTTGAGACTGCTGTATAGTCTGAAAAAGATGCAATAGTACAGTTAGATTTTATAAGTGCAAACGCAGAATTTTCAGTATGACATGTGGCCATATATGTGTGTTGGGATCTTTTTTTTTTTTTTTTTTTTTTTTTTTTTTTTTTTTTTTTTTTTTGGTTTTTCGAGACAGGGTTTCTCTGTGGCTTTGGAGCCTGTCCTGGAACTAGCTCTGTAGACCAGGCTAGTCTCGAACTCACAGAGATCCGCCTGCCTCTGCCTCCCGAGTGCTGGGATTAAAGGCGTGCGCCACCACCGCCCGGCTTTTCATGAATGTTATGAAAAAGTAGGAATATTAGGTAAAATTGTTAAAGTATAAATACTTAATGAGGAAAACTTACAGAAGAACTAAAGTTCAATTTATTAGAACTCAAGAGGAATAGAAGATAGGAAAATAAACAGAAGTTTGAGCTGGTACAATAAAATGTAACTCTCTTGCTTCATAAACTAGCACTATAGTATGCATTTCTGAGAAAAATTATTATAATTTCTATAATAACTAAATATTTTAAGGCAGAACAAAAACATCTTCTGAATCTAAAATTAGTTATTTTTCTTCACAAAAAAATCTTGGCTTATTAAGTAGTATAATCTTGATGCTGAGATATTTAGCAAATGTGTATTCATCTGGGATGCAATGATATCTAAACATAGGGATATGATTATTTAATTTAAAGAAACTAAACTGTTAAAGCGAGAGGCAGGCTGTATTTTTCATGCAAGCAAAATGTCTGTGGAAAATTTATTGAATTCCTTGTGGTTATGCCTGGAAGAATGCCCAGGACACAGTAGGTATATGATAAACATGTTTCTGTGAAAATATTAATTAAACACCTTTTCAGAAATCATACATGCAACATCTGAATGTATTTAAGTCTCTCTTTGACCTTAGTGTTCAAGGACAGTCACTTACAGTAGGAAACTACCTGACTTTGTGAGTACAATATGTAATTAAATGTAGAAAGAATGTACAAATTATAATCACTTAATATGAATAGAATAAATTACATGCAAAATAGAATTTGGTAGGTCAAATTTCTTCTGATAACGTTTACTTCAGATAAATAATCTGCTTTGAAAATCATCATTTTTTGCAATTATAAATTTTCTGTATATTAATTTTCTAGTTTATTCATAGAAATTAACATACCATCATATCAATGAATATGTTCTTAAAAATAAGAAAAGACAAAGACTATTTCAAAATGGTTAGTCTTATTTCTGTAATATTTTTTTGTTAGATGAGTGAAATTATAATTATTTCTTTAAACTGATGGGTGTTTCATTGTCTGTGCAACTTTGCACTAGTTTGGTTAACAAAAATACTGGCTTACAGTGTGGAATGTGAATCAATACTAATTTAACCGAAGATGAGAAAATTTTGGTGTGATCATATATCTGATCCTGATGCATTATTAAATGTAATTTTAATTTAAATTTTTAAGTATTGATTTGCAATATTATTATATTTTTGCTTATCATCATTTTATCACAAGCATGAAAAAGCTTGGGTGTTTCCCACAATCCATACAGTGTTTTATCTCTAAACAGAGTATCATCAAGATACATTGGACTGTATTCTAGTTTCTTAGTTTGTTGTTAGCAGTTTTAATCCCGTGAATGACTTGGTATTTTATTCAACTCATCATTTTATGCTGCCCTTCAAAGATATAAAGATATTTTACAAAGTGAATGTATGAAACTATGTAAAATATCTTTATATGCTTTTCAAATGGCTGGGCCTTCACTAGGACTCTTCCTAGATGACCTGTGGCTGCCCTATGATATGGAGATTCTGCAACTTTGCGTCTACAGGCCAGGTCTTTTCATACATTCCAGCAGATCATAGATGGGGTGGATGTTGTGGCAAGCCATGTCATCACCAAGGATCTGTGCCTGGGCAGTTGTAGAGTTGATCTGCCAACCAGTTCTCGCCTGTCCTCACTATGAGGGTGACTTCTCCAGCATTGCCCCAGCTGAGTCACCGCTTACAACCTGCTTTCCCTCTCTTGGGGTCTACTCTCCCACACATGCGCCTTAGGCCCAGCTCTATTGTGTTGCCCAGGAGAGATGCAGGGCCGTTTTCCATTGTCCTGCAGTTGAGTGACAGGGAAAGCCCTCCTGCTCTTATGCCATCAAGGCCTGCTCCTCCACCTGTCTCAGGCATTGATGGGTGGAAGGTGGTGGTGGGGGCTTCTCTCCTCTCATGTCAGATGAGTAATGGGGGCAACTCTCCCTTGTTCACTACTTCCGGGCTGGTTCACCTATACCTCCACTAACAGGGTAGGCTCTGTTGTGTTGCCCACTCGGTACAGGGCTTGCTCTCCTGAGTGTTGCAGTTGCTGGGGACCAAGCATAACTCTCCCACTCTTGTGGCCGCAGGACCATCTCTCACACCTGCCTAGGGCATGGATGGGTGCGGCAGGCAGATGGGTAATGGTGACATCTCTCCATACTCACAATTCTGAAGCTCATTCACACATACTTGCACTAGCAGGGTTGGCTCTACTGCCCTCCCCTGGCAAGGTGAAGAGGCTACTCTCCTCAGTCTCGCATCTAGGGGATATTGGGGACAGCTCTCCCATTTGCCCCAGGCATTGATGGGAGCCTGGGAGGAGAGCGGCTATCCACCACACAGGTCACCTCAAGACAGGTGAGAAATGGTGACAACTCTCTTGCTCACTAACTGGTTCATCACTAGCTCCAACAGGGTTGGGTTTATTGTGTTGCCCAGGCAAGGCACATGACTAGTTCTCTGGCTCTTGTGACCTCTTGGTCAACTCCATCATATACCTCAGGTGTTGATGGTTGGGGTGGGGGAAGGAAGAGAAATGGCGACAGTTTTCTCATGCTCACAACTTCAGGACTGCCTTACCCACCCCTGTGCTATTAAGGTTTGCTCTTCTGTGGTTCCCTGGAGAGGTGTAGGGTCTGTTCCCCTTAGCATTGCAGCTTGTGGTAGGTAGGGACAGCTCTCCCACTCCCGTTACCTCAGAATCAACTGTTTGTCTTGCCTTAGGCATTGATACGAGGCATGGACGAAGGGCATCTCTCCATAGCCATGTAAAAGATGAACAGTGGGCTACCTTTTTCACCCTCATGTTCTCAGGGTTGTCTTAACTCTGCTCTCTCATCAAGAGGCTCATCTCTGTTGTACTGCCCAGACAAAGGGCTGGGCAAGCTTTCCCATGTTTTGCTGCTGGTGAAGGGATCAGGGCACTCACCATTTCAGCTTGCTACTTTTCTTTATCTTCTCTTCAGATATTCCTCTGTCCAAAGCACCTGAACTACTAGATGGGCCTGTGTTTTCTCCTCAGAGTCTAGCATGGACCGTCCCAGGTCTGACTGTGTGTCTCCTTGTCCCACGTAGGTCGCCATGGTACTGTACTGCAGTTTGCTTCCTCATTACAAAGAGATCACCTAAGTGCCTAACCACCCAATGTCATAGGCTCTTGTTTGGTGTGTTTGCCTGCGTTCCATCAAAACTGGCCACAAGACATGGGGTGGGGGGGTTTGCTGGAGTCTGGCTGCTGGCTGTGGTTAGAAGCTCTGGCTGGTACTTGGCTGCATACTGCCCAACCCAATCTCATGAATGGGATGGGGTCGGGGCTTTGATCCATTAGTCATCTATATTTACCCATTATTTCCAACTCTGGTATAAACATCCAAAGTAAAAATTTTAGAACATATTAATGGGAATTGATCAGCATTCAGCATTCTTTAGATAATTCCAGAATAATTGCATTAGCATTAAAATAAATGTGTTTTGTCTTTAGATTTAATTAATATGATTGGGGATTCAAGGTATTATATTAACTTCTTGAGTAGAGAAGAAATGTAAAACCTGTTTTACAATTTTAAATGAATTGGAAGAAAGTTATAAAGTTATTTATACCAACACTCAATACTCTCTACATTAGTTATGATTGAAACATTAACCATATAATTTTGTAAGTGCACAGTGAATAAAAAAGATCATGGCCTTGTAGTCTAGATAGCTTCTCAATTTCTGGGTCCTCAAAGTGAAAGAAATTAACACCAAAAATAATTTTTATTGAAATGACCAAAGAGTAGTTATCCTACTCTGTACGTCAGGATCCAGAAATATAGAGAAAATTTAGGAGGTATTGCTTACATGTAGAAATACTAAGTGCATTGTCTTAGATACTGTTTTATTGCAGTGAAAAGACATAATAATGAAGGCAATTCTTATAAAAGAAAGCACTCAATTTGGGGGTTTGCTTATGATAGCACCTATGAACATGAAATTGTACATTTCCGAGGTAGGGCAATAGCACAAGCACAAGCAAGCGCGTGCAAACTCAAAATCAGCTGACAAAAGCATGGTAACTAATGACGCATGCTCCTAGCTAACAGCCACACACCAGCAGTGACCGCCAGTCTCAACAGGACCAACCAGAAACATTCCTAATGCAGCTTACTATC